GACTTTCAAGAACTTTTAGGCATTCATCCGATGTCGAAGAAATAAAAAGGTTTCATATTATGTTACGATATTTATATAGAGCAATGTACGTCAAAGACCTAACCACGTGTGTGTGTACCTACATGAATGGATATATGTGATGTGATTAGTCTGAGTTTCATAATTGAGAATGACAGGTTATTTTCTGAAGCGACAGGTATGAAGAAAAGCTACCTGTCGCTTGCGACAGGTAGCTTTTTTTAAACATTTCGAGGGCTGAACATTTGATCAGTCTTATCAATAAAATGCACATAAACAATTTGTCCCAAAAGCGAGGTGTAGGAGCACTGAAACTTTTATCACCAAATTGATTTAGTTTTGTTTTAAGAACAGCAAGTATATTTTTGTTATGCAACCTTAGAGTACAGTTCGGTTTATAGTTTGTCAAAAGTTCAGACAAATATACAGGAGCGAGATTTATCATTATTGAACTGAAAATTGGCAATTTTCTTTGCAATAACTTGTCTATGATGTTACATGGACGTAAAACTCCACGAACGACGAACGATTCTCAATAACTCTTGGACCTACATATATATATAAATGTCCGGTCTTCACTAATATAATATTATGTAATTTCTTGTTAATAAATACGCATTTAGAATAATTGGACTTCTCTCATTTAGGATAACTCCTAACCTTGTCCGATGACAGCTACTTACTTTTAGATTATTGTATGTCATCCAGGACTTAATGGACTGTGAACATGCTGGTGTACGATTTAAGGATTCTTTAATTTGAGTGTGGTTGAAAACGTCCATTAGCTGTGTATCATCGGTGTGGGAGTAATGTCGGATACAATGTTGATCAGTAATACTAATAGGGCTGGCAATCGATCCTGTTTCAAGTATCGATTATCGCCGACAATCTGCCGATCAATAATCAATATTATCGGCAAATTATTTTGACTTACAATTGGTTTGAAAACAATCATAATTTGTACATGAATAACGAATTATATGCAAATTTATGTTGTGATGTCATTCTGTATACATGTAGAATTTTTTTTTTCATTTATTTGAAATTTGACAATAAAATAATAACATTCCATAGCAAAACCAAGGTGTAGAAAGAAACTCGATCAACTTCGTTTGAAAGACAGAACCGCCACCTCTCGCCATATCTTTGTCGCTTATTACCTGAACAATAATGAATAAGATAGGTGGCCAGGCAACAAAACATACGCCCACAGCAGCTAAATCGTCCGAGAAGTCGACAAGGGTTGTCGCATATTTATTCTTTTGTAGGTAATTAGGGGTATTTAATAGACAATTTCATACAGATGACATTATAATTTCCGTTGTTTGAAGGTTCACAAGGTTCTAAAATCTAAAACAAGGGCCGTAACTCTGGAAGCATTCTACAGAAATTGTTCAAATTCAAAGGCTTTTTCCGTTTTAATAATTCAAATAATGCATATGAATTTCATACAGATCAGATGATAACTTTTGTTGTTCGAAAGTTCACAAAGTTCAACAAAGTAAATCAAGGGCCATAACTCTAGACATAATTGATGGAAATTGCTGACAGTGACATTCAATAGGCTTGTTCGTCTTCATTTCACTAATTTAGGTGATAACTGAAACTCAATAGGCTTGTTCGTTTTACTAATTTAAATGATACATATAAATTTCATACAGATCGGATAATAACTTTTGTCGTTATAGCATTTACAAGGTACAACAATGTGAAACAAGGGCCATAACTCACGGCGTAATTAACGGAAATTGCTGAAATACAATAGGCTTCTTCATTTCACTAATTTAAATGATGCATATCAATATCAAACAGATCGAATGATAACTTTTGTCGTTCGAACATTCACAAGGTTCAAAAAAGTAAAACAAGGGCCATAACTCTAGAATTGACGGAAATTGCTGACATTCAATAGGCTACATTATTTCACTAATTTAAATGATGCATATGAATTTCATACAGATTTGGTGATAACTTTTGTCGATCAAGCGTTCACAAGTTTCAACAAAGTAAAACAAGGGCTATAACTCTGGATGTACTTAACAGAAATTTTTTGAAACAAAATAGGCTTGTTTGTTTTACTAATTTAAACGATACATATAAATTTCATACAGATCGGATAATAACTTTTGTCGTTGGAGCATTCACAAGATACAACAAAGTGAAACAAGGGCCATAACTCACGGCGTAATACACGGAAATTGCTAAAATTAAATAGGCTTCTTCGTTTCACTAATTTAAATGATGCATATTAATTTCAAACAGATCGGATGATAACTGTTGTCATTAGAACATTCACAAGATTCACCAAAGTGAAACAAGGGTCATAACTCTAGATGTAATAAACAGATGTAATTTTGGGCCGATTTACACGAAATTTGAACACAGCCATCCTTAGGGTGTAACGGTGATATAATGATACGTTTTTTTAAATCGGATAAAAATTATGACCTCTATAGGGTCCATAAGCTAAAAACACGATTTTTCGTACAATCAGGGGCCATAATTCAGGAAGTTAAGGTCAGATATGCGCGAATATAGAAAGGAACTTAGATCTTTGGTTTATAAACTTACATTTCAAGTTTCAACAAAATCGGATAAAAATTGTGACCTCTATAGGGTTCACAAGCTAAAAACGTGTTTTTTCGTACAAACAGGAGCCATAATCCATGAAGTTTCGATCCGATACATGCCAATATCGAAAGCAGCCAAAATCTTTTGGAGATAAACCTATGTTTCAAGTTTCGTCAAAATCGGATAAGAATTGTGACCCTCTAGTGTCCACAAACAAATTGTGGACTGACAGGCGTTCGGACGGACAGGGGCAACGACAATATACGTCCACATGAAAATGTGGGCGTATAAAAAGTGAATAGGTTTGACAGGTCACGGTCAGGTTTTGCCGTTCAAATGTTTTTGACTCGTTACATCCTTAGTCTGTAGAGTGTGCACAAGAAATTGTTGACGACAGACAGACTGTTGGAAGGACAAAAAGACCAAGGCGACGGCAATATACTACCACTTTTCCATGTGGGCGTATAAAAAGATCAGATAATTAATGTAGTCTGTAGAGAGTTCAGAGGCGACAGCAATATACAACAGTGCTTCACGTTTGATGCGAGCGATCGCTCTCGCTCTTCTCGGCTCGAGCAAACGTCAAAATAGAAGAGCTTTTTATCGCTCTCCTCCGAGGATAAAATCGCTCTCGTCATATTTTACATTTGTCAAAAAACGAACCCCAAACTGCAAATAAAGCCCATGTTACCAATCCTCGAATAATTGTCTAATGGGAATTGTGTTTCTGGCCCACAGGAAAATATCGCTAAATTTGATTCTGGGTGCTGGAAATTAGTGGAAACATACGATGCGTCAAGTAAATATTTTTGTTAACGTGAAAATATTCTGTATTTTTATTGTATATAATGGCAAGTAGCACACTAATAAAAGGTAATACATGTTGGTCGTTGAGGTTACCGATCCAGTCATTATACTATAAAGCATGCAATATGCAAATAAGATTGTTTGATTCGTGCATGCATGCTGTCAGCCAATAGTAACAGTAAATTTTCCCGCGGTTAGACCCCTCTAACAAATGAAAAAAATAGTTGTGTAGCGAACCTTCAGCCATTGTTTTGAAATTTACTCTTGGTTGAATATGACCAACAAAACAATGATTATGTCGAATCAGAGAATAATCATTGAACCTTAAAATAAATACGTACAAAAAAGAAAGAAAATAGATAGTCAGAACAGTTTTCCAAATGTTCAATTGATCACGTACGCAGTTGCATCGACGATTCAAGCTTCTCACGCGATTTTCTATAATAAGTAGCCTATAGGAATAAGTGTGGGTGTGTGTTTTTTAATGGTTTTCAAAAAAGAAAATAATTTACATAAATAGAAATAAATATAGAGTTTAATCAGATAGGCCTCGAAATGTCGCTTTAGTTTAGTAACTGACCTGTCATTTATAATATTCCACGTCACACATTATCCATGCACACAAACACGATTAAATGGTTTTGATTCTTTGTTTGATCCATGTGAATATCGTAATTAATTTCTTCGACATCGGCAGGACTAAAAATTCGCGCGAATCCCCGCACTAGCTGAAAGTCTTGATGTGGATTCCGCTTAGTAAAACATGCGTCTCAAATCATGTTTTAAGTTTAATTTAGAGGTCTATGTCACTGCCGTTGAGAAATGTGTAGAATTCGGATTCTAAAATCGGTATAAAATGGAATATCAAACACGTCGTTGCACCTGTACATGACACTATACTATTATTAATAACGTGCAGAGGACAGTTTATCGCGCCCCCTGGAATTCATTTCTCACATTCCGACTTATTTACGCAAAAAATTATATACATGTATGTATAAAATACTCTTTTGACCAAATTGTTTAATTTTCTCAAATTGTCCTATAAACTATAGTAATTATACATAAACTTTATTTGCGAACATTGTTCTGAATTTTTTCAATGTTTATATTTTCATTGGAAACAAAACGGGAAACATCGAATTGTTACGGTGCAGACTTTGTGCCAAAATTATCAGGGCGTCAAAGTTAAACTTAAGATTTTTTCTGTGACTTTTCTTTATGGTTTTCATCAAGTCAGTATAGGAGTGAAAGATTGATACTGAAATTTCATTTTTCTTTTTATTTACTCTAATAAATATCGAAACATTTTCTAAATATTAATGGTCAATAAATGGCTTCAAAGTATAGTATGAAATACATGAATGGTCCTTCTAAATAATGGATTAGAGTTGAGAAGTGCTATTTTTGCAGGAGCGATTTTCAGCTGTTGTAATTTTAGAAGAGCTTTTTATGGCTCCTCTATTTTTTTTAAACGTGAAGCACTGATACAATCAAATTTCAATGTGGGAGTATAAAAATCGGATCAAAAGCTAGGGTATGCACAAAAAATGTTAACAGATGATCATATCGTAATACAAGAATGAAAAAATTTGTTCACATACTGTATTATATCTTACCATACGAGGAGGTGGACCAGCAGATCGTGGTGGAGGGCCATGATGGTGTGGCATACCAGGAGGAGGATGTCCTGTTGGATTGAATGGAGGTCTGGCACCTGCTGTATCACAAACACAACATTTAAAAGAAAATATTTCGTGGATCCAATATGCTAGAGTTCAAATATGAAGAGCACCGGGGAAGAACGATCTAAGTCACTTTTTCAACGAACCCTAGTTAATGGCACAATGGCAAATTGTATAAACTTTCTGTGGAACAATCAATTTCAGATAAAAACGATTGAAGTCACATCAAACCAAGGGCCTTCTCAAATGGCCTCCCGGACAAATACAAGTCCATCGTATTTATTTGCACTTAATTTGGCTGAAAAGTGGAAGTCAGTTGTTGTACTGGTAATTATGATTCGTATTAATCATCATTTTGAAGTTGTAATTAAACCCACTCGTTCTGTTCATGTCAAGCATTCTTGTCCAAAAGTCTGTTTTGCCTTTTATGCGAAAGGACAAAAATGTTACTTACATCGTTCTTCCCCTGGATTCTTCACATATTTTTACATTCAAGAACAAACAAGTCATGTGGTGGGGTTCTTTTTCTTTTGCAATTTTTATCAAATCTGTTATTTTCATCAACAAAATGTGAATCAAAGGGTTTACAGACAAGCCAATCACATATACATGTATCACTATACGACTGGTACCGTGGAATCTCGGGTAAATAGCGTTATTATCTAATCTATGTAGAATTATTCATAGATATCATTGAATTTGGCCTAATAGCATTCAATTTGTCCTTGTATACAACTTAAATCTCAACGTGCAATTTTGATTACCAAGCGTTAATTGACTAGTGTTTTGTTTGTCGACACGTGTGTAATTATAAGCGTTCCGCTTAATTTTGACGACTGTTCAATAATTAGTTGGACCGTTCAATTTCCCCGAGTTGTGATTAAAATTAGTCAAGGTGTCCAATTACGCCAGGTATTCAATTCTGTTGCCGAACATCCAATTTCACATGCGTTGTTCAGATTTTAACAAAATGTTTATATTGAAGGAGTTGTAATATAGTAATGCTGCCGTGAAAACGTGTACATGTATAATGTACAGGCCGGTTTGAATAACAAAGATAGGTTGCCAGGCAACTAAACATACGCCCACAGCAGCTAAATCGTCGGAGCTGTCGACAAGAGTTGTCGTATATTTGTTCTTTTGTAGGTAATTAGGGGGCATTTAATAGACAATTTCATACAGATGACATAATTTTCGTCGTTTGAGGGTTCACAAGGTTCTAAAAACTAAAACAAGGGCTGTAACTCTGGAAGAAATCTACAGAAATTGTTGAAATTCAGACTTTTTCGTTTTACTAATTCAAATAATACATATCAATTTCATACAGATCAGATGATAACTTTTGTCGTTCGAACGTTCACAAGATTCAACAAAGTAAAACAAGGGCCATAACTCTAGAAGTAATTGACAGAAATTGCTGACATTCAATAGGCTTCTTCATTTCACTAATTTAAATGATGCATATGAATTTCATACAGATTGGGTGATAACTTTTGTCGTTCAAGTGTTCACATGATTCAACAATGTGAAACAATGGCCATAATTCTAGATGTAATTAACGGAAATTTGCTGAAACTCAATAGGCTTGTTCGTTTTACTAATTTAAACAATACCTATAAATTTCATACAAATCGGATAATGACTTTTGTCGTTAAAGCATTCACAAGGTACAACAAAGTGAAAAAAGGGCCATTACTCACGGTGTAATTGACGGAAATTGTTAAAATTCAATAGGCATCTTCGTTGCATTAATTTAAATGATGCGTATCAATTTCAAACAGATCGGATGATAACTGTTGTCATTAGAGCGTTCACAAGATTCAACAAAGTGAAACAAGGGCCATAACTCTAGATGTAATTAACGGAAATTGCTGAAATTCAATAGGCTTCTTTTAGGCATTTAAATGATGCATATAAATTTCATACAGATCGGTTGATAACTTTTGTTGTTAGAGTGTTCACAAGAAGCAACAAAGTGAAACAAGGGCCATAACTCTAGATGTAATTAACGGAAGTTATTGAAATTAAATAGGCTTCTTCATCTCACTAATGCAAACAACATGTATCAATTTCAAAAGAATGAGATGATAAATGTAGTCTGTAGAGTGTTCACGGACCGACAGATGGACGGGGGCGACGGCAATATACGACCACATTTCCATGTGGGCGTATAACAAAATGAGTTCGGTAATCTCGGGAAAACATTTACCGGCATTCTGTATCGGTTAGGATTTTTTTTCTAACGCACTGTACATGCATATAACGTTGGCCAAAATGTATGCAACAATGAACAACTTACAATTTTTTTTTACAACGTATCATTACATCTTCGTCTATGACTTAGATGTAATCCATCAATTATTGGCTGCTATAAAATCCAAACTTCAGTTAATCTAAATCAATCATTCATAGAGCACTCGATCCACTCCACGGGGCGCTTAACGGTAAGTCACATGGTCAGAAACGCGCCAATATTGGGACTATTTTCTTAGTCTATCTGTGTTAATCGGCGACAAATCTCCGCTGTGACAATATACATCTACTTTAAATGTCGCCCAATTCAATTCGGTGGAAGCGGATATTGAATAAAGCCATTTCGCACACGTGTACATTACATGCGCATGTCATATATTTATACAATGTCCACGATGTGTTACATTAATTGTCGCCTTCACTCTTTGAGTAGCCTACACTTTCTGAATGATTCCATTCTTTTGTACGAATGCATGACCACTTGGACCAACTAATAGACCACTCGGACGAAACAAAAAAGACTACTCGGACCATACAAAAGGACCACTCGGACCAATAATAAAGTGTTGTTTTAATAGGTTTATATTTGTGTTTGTATTAATATGACTACTCGAATCAATAATAAAGTGTTGTTTTTATACGTTTATATTTGTGTTTGTATTAATATGACTACTCGAATCAATAATAAAGTGTTGTTTTAATTGTTGTTTTAATAATTGATAATAGTGTTTGTTTTAATATGCATATGTTTTCTTTGAAATAATAAAGTGTTATGTACTTACCCGTCGCATTGTTTCATCATGAAGCACATCAAAGAAAAACAATTAAATTGTTGATGTAATAAAGATATATATTGCTAATATGTACTTACCGGCAGCGGATATTCTAACGTTATGTATACCTATAAATTGTTCGCCTCTTTGTATTATGATACAATATGTTGTTAATGATTAAAATCATTAATAACATATTGTCTGTATTATATTTTTAAAATGAATAAGTCAAGCCTTATAATGTAATTTAATTGGTCCGTGTGGTCCTTTGGGTTGGTCCGAATAGCAAGGATAAATATGGGTCCGATATTATGCAATATAGATGCAGTTATATAAATGCATTGTTTATAATTATAATCACGATTTACATACAGTTATAATTACAAAAGCAAATGCAGGTTCAATCAAGAAACTTGCGTGTTCACCGTCTAGTATAACTTTCGAGCTTCTGATATCTAGATTTTAAACGTAAACATATACATGTATGTATAAACTTATAGATTGCAGTTACACAGGGTACATGTATATGCAGTAGGAATCATTCAGAAATTGTACTCAAAATAAGAAGATAGGTTGCCAGGCAACAAAACACGCCCACAGCAGCTAAATCGTCCGAGAAGTCGACAAGGGTTGTCACATATTTATTCTTTTGTAGGTAATTAGGGGTATTTAATAGACAATTTCATACAGATGACATTATAATTTCCGTTGTTTGAAGGTTCACAAGGTTCTAAAATCTAAAACAAGGGCCGTAACTCTGGAAGCAATCTACAGAAATTGTTCAAATTCAAAGGCTTTTTCCGTTTTAATAATTCAAATAATGCATATGAATTTCATACAGATCAGATGATAACTTTTGTTGTTCGAAAGTTCACAAAGTTCAACAAAGTAAATCAAGGGCCATAACTCTAGACATAATTGATGGAAATTGCTGACAGTGACATTCAATAGGCTTGTTCGTCTTCATTTCACTAATTTAGGTGATAACTGAAACTCAATAGGCTTGTTCGTTTTACTAATTTAAATGATACATATAAATTTCATACAGATCGGATAATAACTTTTGTCGTTATAGCATTTACAAGGTACAACAATGTGAAACAAGGGCCATAACTCACGGCATAATTAACGGAAATTGCTGAAATTCAATAGGCTTCTTCATTTCACTAATTTAAATGATGCATATCAATTTCAAACAGATCAGATGATAACTGTTGTCATTAGAGCGTTCACAAGATTCAACAAAGTAAAACAAGGGCCATAACTCTAGATGTAATTAACGGAAATTGCTGAAATTCAATAGGCTTCTTTGTTTTACTAATTTAAAAGATGCATATATATTTCATACAGATCGGTTGATAACTTTTGTCGTTAGAGCGTTCACAAGGTGCAACAAAGTGAAACAAGGGCCATAACTCCAGAAGAAATTAACGGAAATAGCTGAAATTCAATAGGCTTCTTCATTTCACTAATTTAAATGATGCATATCAATTTCATACAGATCTTTTGATAACTTTTGTCATTAGAGCGTTCACAAGATTCAACAAAGTGAAACAATGGCCATAACTCTAGATGTAATTAACGGAAATTGCTGAAGCTTTGTTTTACTAATTTAAATGATGCATATAAATTTCATACAGATCGGTTGATAACTTTTGTCGTTAGAGCGTTCACAAGGTGCAACAAAGTGAAACAAGGGCCATAACTCCAGAAGAAATTAACAGAAGTTATTGAAATTAAATAGGCTTCTTCATCTCACTTATACAAACAACATATATCAATTTCAAAATAATCGGTTGATAAATGTAGTCTGTAGAGTGTTCACAAGAAATTGTGGACGATGGAGGGACGGACCGACGGACGGACGGACGGGGGCGACGGCAATATACGAACACATTTCCATGTGGGCGTATAAAAATTATAACGGAGTGAAGGCGAGAATTACATGTAGGCCAACACACTCGTGGACATTGTATAAATATATGACATGCGCATGTAATGTACACGTGTGTGAAAAGGCTTTACTTAATATCCACTTCCACCAAAATGAATTATGCGACATTTAAAGTAGATGAAAATTGTCATAGCGGAGATTTGTCGCCGATTAACACAGATAGATTAAGAAAATAGTCCCAATATTGGCGCGTTTCTGACCATGTGACTTACCGTTAAGCGCCCCGTGGAGTGGATCGAGTGCTCTATGAATGATTGATTTAGATTAACTGAAGCTGCAAGCTCATCGTATGACGTATATAATTTAAAGTTTGGATTTTATAGCAGCCAATAATTGATGGATTACATCTAAGTTATAGACGAAGATGTAATGATACGTTGTAAAAAAATTGTAAGTTGTTCATTGTTGCATACATTTTGGCCGACGTTATATGCATGTACAGTGCGTTAGAAAAAAATTCTAACCGATACAGAATGCCGGTAAATGTTTTCCCGAGATTACATAACTCATTTTGTTGTTATTCAAACCAGCGGAGATTTGTCGCCGATTAACACAGATAGACTAAGAAAATAGTCCCAATATTGGCGCGTTTCTGACCATGTGACTTACCGTTAAGCGCCCCGTGGAGTGGATCGAGTGCTCTATGAATGATTGATTTAGATTAACTGAAGCTGCAAGCTCATAGTATGACGTATATAATTTAAAGTTTGGATTCTATAGCAGCCAATAATTGATGGAATACATCTAAGTTATAGACGAAGATGTAATGATACGTTGTAAAAAAATTGTAAGTTGTTCATTGTTGCATACATTTTGGCCAACGTTATATGCATGTACAGTGCGTTAGAAAAAAATCCTAACCGATACAGAATGCCGGTAAATGTTTTCCCGAGATTACAGAACTCATTTTGTTGTTATTCAAACCGGCCTGTACATTATACATGTACACGTTTTCACGGCAGCATTACTATATTACAACTCCTTCAATATAAACATTTCGTTAAAATCTGAACAATGCATGTCAAATTGGATGTTCGGCAACAGAATTGAATACCTGGCGTAATTGGACACCATGACTAATTTTAATCACAACTCGGGAAATTGAACGGTCCAACTAATTATTGAACAGTCGTCAAAATTAAGCGGGACGCTTATAATTACACACGTGTCGACAAACTAAACACTAGTCAATTTACGCTTGGTAATCAAAATTACACGTTGAGATTTAAGTTGTATACAAGGACAAATTTAATGCTATTAGGCCGAATTCAATGATATTTATGAATAATTCTTCATAGATTAGATAATAACGCTATTTACCCGAGATTCCACGGTACCAGTCGTATAGTGTATGCTACTTAATTAGCCACAATTGTTTTCATTTTATTTGATAAAATGGTTCATATAAAAGCAATATTTTCTTACCGTTTACAAATGAAGGTGGTGGACCAGACATTGGGGGACCTGAGTTAGGAGGTCCGCTTACCCCCATTGTAGGTGGTCTTTGCATTCTTTGATTGAATTGTGGCCTTGGTGTCTGAGGTCTAGTTAATCTTGGACCTTTTCCAGGGAACGGGAACTCTACTGGGCAAAATATTGATGCATAGTAAGTTTTGTTATAAGACAGAGATATATTTTGTCAATGTCAAAGGAACTGAGATATTTGGGAAATAACCATAAATTTGAAGTTTCATCAAAATTGGACAAAAACTGTGACCTCTAGAGGGTCCACAACTTTGGTATGACATGCTCATTATACTATTTGCATAAAGGGGAGCGTCCATTTTGTCAGACAGTCTCCGTCCGATATTCACAAATTTCTCACTAAACCGTAATTATGATATATTTGAACGGTTTTTAAAATCAAATAACAAGCAGTTACCATGCAAGATACGACCACATCTTGCAAGAGATGGATAGAGAAAAAGCTAAAAAAATAACACATGATTTTTCATATAATCAGGGGCCATAATTCAGTAAGTAATGGTCTGAAATACACGAATATCGAAAGGAACAGATCTTTGGGACAAGGAGAGGCGATTTTGTCCGGCAGTTTCGTTTTGATATTCCCGAAATTCAAACTCACGCTCATTATGGTGATATATTTAAACGGTTTTCGAAATCGGATAAAAATTTTGACTCAGAGGGTCCACAAGCTAAAAATGTGATTTTTTCGTAGAATCAGGGACCATAATCCACAAAGTTATGGTCTGATTTGTATGATTATCGAAAGGAACCAAGATCTTTGGGATATAAACATATCTCAGGTTTCATCAAAATTGGATAAAAATTGTGACCTCTAGAGGCAGGGTTTCAGCCAGTGAGGGGTACGGGGGGTGCACGTACCCCCCTTTGCTTGAAGAAGGGTCAGTCAGCTGAGTAATGTTTTCAAAAACTGTTTTGTGTAAGAAAAGGAGTGTTTAAATGATCTGTAACTAAAGAAATTATCATATTAGATGGTTTGTTCAAGTTATTTAATTCAAGGCATCCATTAGGAGCTCTTACAGGTTTCCCTTTTGACGTCATTTTCGGTCATGCGCAGACCCTGGCCATATATTATCAATTTTGGTTGTCATAGCAACCAAAATGGAAAAAATGCAATTTTTGAGCATTTTCAACGCTATTTACCATAACCCAAAAGGTCATCACCACACTTTAAAGTAAGAGGTTTAAAATATTTGAAACCCATGTAATATCAAATGATATGGATTGTGTAAGTTTGAGAAAAATATGAAGAGTTTCGGTTGTTACCATAGCAACCACAGTTATTTTTTTCCAAAAAGCATTATTTTCTAATAATTATGACACCAATACTACGTATTGATTTTATTTCAAAATCAGAAGGTATTGGGCAAGATTTTAAAAATTAAATAAAATCAAAATATTTATACTATTCTCTTAAACCTGGAAAGGGGTTCGCTTTTGAAAAACATTCTGCAGTAGCAAATTGTCCATTTTGGCCGTTATTAAGACATAAGTAAAATATGAAGGAATTAAGATCTTGAAGAGATATTTTCTACTAAGAAAATAAAAACATTGACCAATAAAAAATTATCTAAAGTGTAAAAATAGGTTAGGCCTACTCAGTTACTGATGGTAGTCATGTTATAAAGGCCCGGAAGCTACATTTTGAAAAAGAATTGTTTTGTTTTTACTTCACTTTTCAATATTTTTATTATTCCTTCAAATCGGTATGTAGCCTATTATTGAGCAACTTTCTTTTTATTTTGTATATTTTCATCAATGCAAATATAAATCATGCATGGCAACTACGCCTAAAGTAAAAGTAGGCCTTACATACAAAGTTGGTTCTTTCAATTTTAACTGACCAACAAATATATTAATACTCGAGGTGTTAAATATTTTTTAACTGACCAACAAATATATTAATACTCGAGGTGTTAAATATTTTTTCCTAAAAAAAACAAAGAATTAAAATTTTAATAATTAGTATGACAACTGTTATATAATGCTAAATTATTTAATAAAACATTTTGCGAAAATTGGGTACGGTATCTGTATCGATTCTAAACTATAAATAATCTATGTCGTTTCCATAATCTCAAATTCAAACGAAATGTTGTAAATCGCCAACAGCAAATTCAGAAACTGAGCCATTTTAGCTAGCGTTAATTCTTTTGTTGGTCGAACTTTATTCGGGTATAATTCCTTTTTAAGTGGATAGAAATCGTAAAGTTATTTTAGCTAGCGTTAATTCTTTTGTTGGTCGAACATTATTCGGTTTAATTCCTTTTTAAGTGGATAGAAATCGTAGCTATCGTCCCTCACATCTGTGGTCAGTAACGTAATGCCAAATGGCTCTCCGAGACCTGTGTGGATATTTTATGGTTTTATTTCCATTCGTGTGCACAGTAAATGCTTTAAAAGTGGGCTTGAATTATTCAGCTAACAGCGAATTTATTATTTCAGAGCATTGAAATATTCGTCAATGTTACGGAACTCCAATTCTTGAAAAATGTTTGGTGTTATAAGTAGAGACGTGTGGTAGCTGGGAGGAAATTTCTTCCCTTCGATTTTATATCCTGTCATGTGGTTATAAAAGCATGCGAATATGAGTCACGTGATGTAAACACTGTCGGCCCTGCTAAAAGCGTGAATAAAATGGAATTACTTATACTTATTTATTTTCAGGCAAGTCCTTTATTTATATAACATAACGATTTCTTCATAAATAAACATCGAGTTGCATTTCGACCCAATTTACGGCAAATATGAGTCACAGGAACTTGGAATGGATTTTTCTTCTCGTGTAGAAATGACGTCATAACAAGGCAAAACTACGCGATTTATTTTTGACAAAATTGCCCATTGTATACAATTTTCAAATGCTTGGCGGCGGTTCTTAAAATGCTCCGATTTTGTTGATTTTAATAGCATTGAAACAAACTTTCGATCGGTCGGGAGTGCTATATTGACAAATCGCCTCGAAAAAAGATTAAATGAATTGAAGAGTTCAACTTACAAAAAATGCATGGTATTTCGAAATGCAAACAAAGCACCCCCGTCCGATCGAAAGATCGTTCAATTATCTTTCTAATGATATTGAAATGAAAAAATAATGTGGTGATGTTCTGTTGTTGGAGGTAACCTGTAACGATCCTGGCCCTGTGACATCTTGCGTTGTCATCCTGGAAGATGAAACGGCGGCCATGACGTCGTGCGAACGGCACAACATGGACTGCCAAGATGTTGTCCCGGTAGTACTGGCCTGTAACACGCCCTGCAACAACATGTAAAGCCGTTCTTCCAGCAACAGTGATGCCTCCCCACACCATAACAGAACTATCCCCAAATCGATCATGTCTGATGACGTTAACGTCTTGGAAGCGCTCGTTTCGATGACGCCACACCCTCCTACGTCTGTCCAAAAAATCAACAGTGAACCTTGACTCATCTGAAAACATCACATTGCTCCAGCGTCGATTATCCCAGTGTTGACGATCCCTACACCAACGACGTCTTGCCTGAATGTGATGATCTCTCAAACAAGGGATCACGCGAGGACGTCGGGTGCGAAGGTGACCCCTATGCAGTCGATTCCGAATCGTCTGGCCACTCACTCTCACACCAGTGTCTGTTTGAAGATGAGCGCTGATCTTATTTGCTGTGATGACACGATTTCTCAAGGCCAAGGTACGGATAAATCGATCCTGGGCTTGAGTTGTCGCCCTTGGTCGACCTGAGCGTGGTCTGTCCTGTACAGATTGTGTATCACGGTATCTGGACCATAGCCTGCTTATGACAGACTGAGAAACATTCATCGTCCGCGCCACAACCGCCTGTGTTGTGCCGATCTCTCAAACAAGGGATCACGCGAGGACGTCGGGAGCGAAGGTGACCCCTATGCAGTCGATTCCGAATTGTCTGGCCACTCACTCTCACACCAGTGTCTGTTTGAAGACGAGCGCTGATCTGATTTGCTGTGATGACACGATTTCTCAAGGCCAAGGTACGGATAAATCGATCCTGGGCTTGAGTTGTCGCCCTTGGTCGACCTGAGCGTGGTCTGTCCTGTACAGATTGTGTATCACGGTATCTGGACCATAGCCTGCTTATGACAGACTGAGAAACATTCATCGTCCGCGCCACAACCGCCTGTGTTGTGCCGATCTGTAGCATGCCAAGGGCACGTAACCTTTCATTTTGGGTAAGCCGACGCATATCAAAATTTGTTTTCTGGTCACTAAAACAATTAAACTGATGTTTGCACCCTGGAATTCAATGCCACAATGACTGTAACATTCAAAGTCAGAGTCGTGCAAATCTTGGGTTGGACCCCCATGATGATCCCAAGCATCACCTGCATTCCATGCGGTAGCTATTGGTGCGTTTGGGCGTCACATGTAACTGGAAATGTTTCTTCTGTTAGGTTCTATAGTGACTTTTTTCGTAGTCATTTGCATATTTTAGTATTATGCCCCCAAAATCAAATATCCCCTACTTTTTTTGAATAGTATACATCAAAATCGGATCAAAACTGTGTCATCTCTCTAGAGGTTCCAAAACCTTGATATACCATATATTTACAATATTTGCGTACGAGGGGCAGCCATTTTGTCCGGCAGTTTTGGTCCGATTTGTACGGAATTCTGATTCAACCATCATAAGGGTTTAACAGTGATATATTCAAACCTTTTTTTAAATCGGATAAAAAATGTGACATCTAGAGGGATCACATTCTAAAAACGCGACTTTTCGTACAATCAAGGACCATAATTCAGGAAGTTATGATTAAATTTGTGCGAATATCGAATGGAACCAAGATCTTTGGGTTATAAATATGTATTTCAAGTTTCATCAAAATCGGATCAAAATTGTGACCTCTATAGGGTCCACAACCTTGATATACCATATTTTTACGCTATTTAAGATCGAAGGGCGGCCATTTTGTCTTTCAGTTTTGGGCCGATTTTCACGAAATTCGAACTCAGTTGTCCTTAGGGTGTAACAGTGACATAATAATATGTTTTTTTAAATCGGATAAAAATTATGACCTCTATAGGGTCCACAAGCAAAAAACGTGATTTTTCGTACAATCAGGGGCCATCTTTGGGTTATAAACTTAGATTTCAAGTTTCAACAAAATCGGATTAAAATTGTGACCTCTATAGGGTCCACAACCTTGATATACCATATTTCTACGCTATTTGAGAACGAAGGGCGGCCATTTTGTCTGTCAGTTTGTGGCCGATTTTCACGAAATTCGAACTCGGCTGTCCATAGGGTGTAACGGTGATATAATAATACATCTTTTTAAATCAGATAAAAATTATGACTCTATAGGGTTCACAGACTAAAAACGCAATTTTTCGTACAATCAGGGGCCATAATTCAGGAAGTTATGGTCTGATATGCGCGAATATATCGAAAGAAACCGAGACCTTTGGGTTATAAACTTACATTTCAAGTTTCAACAAAATCGGATAAAAATTGTGACCTTTATAGGGTCCACAACCTTGATATACCATATTTTTACGCTATTTGGGAACGAACGCGGCCATTTTGTCTGTCAATTTTGGGCTGATTTTCACGAAATTCGAACTCGGCTGTCCATAGGGTGTAACGGTGATATAATAATACGGTTTTTTAAATCGGATAAAAATTATGACCTCTATAGGGTTCACAGGCTAAAAACGCGATTTTTCGTACAATCAGGGGCCATAATTCAGGAAGTTACGGTCCGATATGCGCGAATATCGAAAAGAACTGAGATCTTTGGGTTATAAACTTACATTTAAAGTTTCAACAAAATCGGATAAAAATTGTGATCTCTACAGTGTTAAGCCAAAAACGTGATTTTTCGTACAATCCATGAAGTTATGGTTCGATAGATGCCAATATCGGAAGGAACCAAGATCTTAGGGTGATAAACCTATATTTCAAGTTTCATTGAAATCGGATAAAAATTGTGACCTGTAGACAAACAATTGTGGACGGACGGACGGACGGACGGACAGGGGCGACGACAAAAGGGTTAAAAATCTGGGAAAAAACGACTTTCTTCCAACGCGGGGAATGGAGCTGTGACACATAATTCTATACAGAACTATTTTTTTACAGCGTGATTATTATTTGTTCTTTTTTTTTAAAAGTGCTACGGGACGGGACATAGCAAAACAGCTATCATCAATTACTCAGCTATATAAAATAGCCGACTGAGCATGCGCAGTCTGCCAGATGACTGCGTGTAAACAAAACATACATCGCGATGGTAGAATCGGCAATTAATATCTGAACAATCGTGCTTAAATAAGTGAACTTTTTTGGAGAATGACATGGGAATCATACAGCTACTTGTGGGTCTGTCATGCCTAATTTGCGGTGTTTTCCTCATGAAACGATGGAATTAGGTTGGTGAATTTTCTCGGAAAACGGATTTACAGCGTTAACGAAGAAAAACATTTCTGGTGGGGGGGGGGCCTTTGGCGGTCCAATAATTTGTACCACCCTTCCAGTTTTTTCTGGCGGAAACCCTGAGAGGGTCCATGGCCTTGGTATTACCAATCTGACTAAAATACTTTATACTTTCGATGTCCTAAACTACATGAAGATCTGAAAAGTTGTACTAGAAGGCCGTGTCGGGGGTCGTACGAGCGGCTTTTGACCCTATGACGTCACACATTTCTAGTGGTTTACTCGCCGTAATGGTTAATCCCTTGCTTCAACCAAAACACCGGGAATATAACAATTCTTCCAGATCCTAGCATAGTAAAGACAAGTGAAACGAAATTTTGAACTATAAAAAATGAAATGAAATAGGGTCTGGGTTTTAATCAGATTGTGGTATTACTTACCTTTACACTATTTGCGTTCAAGTAGCAGCCATTTTGTTGGGCAATATGATCCGATTTTTACAACCATCATCAGGGTGCAACAATGATATATTTAAACATTTTATAAAATTTGATAACCAGCGGCTGCCAGGCAGGATACGCCCACATTTTCGAGAGATGGATAGAGAACAAGCTAAAAAGAATGTGATTTTTCCTACAATCAAGGGCCATAATTCATGAAATTACAATTCGATATGCGCAAATATCGAAAGGAACCGAGATCTTTGTGTTATAAACTTACATTTCAAGTTTCAACAAAATTGGATAAAAATTGTGACCTCTATAGGGTCCACAACCTTGATATACCATATTTTTACGCTATTTGAGAACGAAGGACGGCCATTTTGTCTGTCAGTTTCGGGCCGATTTTCAGGAAATTCGAACTCAGTAGTCCTTAGGGTGTAACGGTGATATAATAACACGTTTTTTCTTAAATCGGATAAAAATTATGACATCTATAGGGTCCACAAGCTAAAATCGCGATTTTTCGTACAATCAGGGGCCATAATTCAGGATGTTACGTTCTGATATGCGCGAATATCGAAAGGAACCGAGATCTTTGGGTTATAAACTTACATTTCAAGTTTCATCAAAATAGGATTAAAATTGTGAACTCTATAGGGTCCACAACCTTGATATACCATATTTTTACGCTATTTGAGAACGAACGGCGGCCATTTTGTTTGTCAATTTTGGGCCGATTTTCATGAAATTCGAACTCAGCCGTCCTTACGGTGTAACGGTGATATAATAATACAGTTTTTTAAATCGGATAAAAATTATGACCTCTATAGGTTCCACAATCTAAAAACGCAATTTTTCGTACAATCAGGGAAGTTACGGTCCAATATGCGCGAATATCGAAAGGAACCGAGATGTTTGGGTTATAAAATTACATTTCAAGTTTTAACAAAATTGGATAAAAATTGTGACCTCTATAGGGTCCACAAGCTAAAAACGTGATTTTTCGTACAATCAGGGGCCATAATCCATAAAGTTTCGATAGCATACATGCCAAGATCTTTTGGGGATAAATCCTATATTTCAAGTTTCGTCATAATCGGATAAGAATTGTGACCTGTAGAGAGTCCACAAACAATTGTGGACGGACGGATGTCCGTTCGGACGGACAGGGGCGACGGCATAATACGTCCACATGAAAATGTGGGCAATTAAAAATCCTCTAAATTCTAATAAAATCTACTGCTCCAGATAACCATTCATATGAATTATTAATGTAGTTACCATTTGTCTGGCTGGAGTCTGTGCTGTTTCTACGGTCATCAGCTGCTGCCCCACCAGCTCCTTTCCTGGCCTGAGCCTCAAACTGACTTAATGCCTGTTTACTGTAAGGTGTGACTTGCGGTGCCTGACCATAAAACTCGCGTCTTGCTAATTTATCAAATATCAATCGTGATGAAGCATCTGATCCAACCGATACTAGTGCAAACCTGAAATAAAGATAACCACGCGAAGCATGAAAATATGCCCACACAGCAGCTAAGTCTCAACAGCAGCTTATCTGAAATGAAATCTCGGATATTGACCAAATTTAATAAGGATCTAGGATCCTTGAAATCTCATATTGATTGTGTTCACAAAATTATCTGGACAAATAGCATTAGTGATGTTCCGATATGGGTACTATCAGATGCCGACAGAAAAACATCAGCCAATACAGATACAATTACCGACAGTTACGGAAACATAACTAGAAGTACAAAGCGCAGTACTTATACATTTCAGTAAAAAGTGTCAATGCAAGCGTAGTAAAATAGCAATGGTTTTGGGTAATTATTTCCATGATCTTCTTTAAGTGTAAAGATAGAACGCAAAGTGTGGGATATTTGAGTGGAATACGCAAACATAGTAGCTTTGTCCAATTCCAAACTGCAGCTTATCCGACAGGAAAACTTGGATGTTGAGCAAATTTGATGAGGATACTTGAAGAAATCTAATCTTTAAAGGTTCATCCTTTTATAACCACATCACCTTCAAACCTATAGCGTTCACAAGAAAATGCTGATTTTTGAATATCGATAGGGATTGATGACCAGAACGCATATCAATAAGGTTTATGCTCTCTTTCTTCCCACCCAAGAGATGGATTGGGACAAGCTAAAAAAAAAAAAAAACAAGCCAACAGTCAAACTTAAGTCCCCCACCAAAATCCCAAAATAAATAGATGACACATATTAATCAATAGCATATTTATTTTTTCAAAAGTACCAAGCAATCAAAATAATTATCAACTATACACTAAAATTCATCACTTTCTATCAGATAGAATCTTGTCCCAAAGCATCGATCAATGAAATTGCTTAGCTCTGCTTAGCTTTAGCTCGAAATGTTAATCATTGAACTTAGTCAAAACATTCACTTAATGAACATCTATATCAAGTTTTAAACATTCTACCTCAATTAACACTGTAACCAGTGATGGGATTTTGCCCGTATATTCCGGACATGTCCAACGCTATTTTCCAAACGTCGTAAATTGTCTGACCAGGAATATGCCGAATCGGACATCAAGACATGGTAAATAATATTCAAAATTCCAAAATTAATATAATGTACTGAGTGTATAACTACCACTCAACCCGATTATCGTTGATAATAGGCTGGATTGATTAGGTAATTAAGTGATCAACATATTTATCGTTTTATACGGTCTATACACATACCTTGATTAACTTCTTAATCTGCCTTGATTGACTGACTTAATTCTTTGTCGGACAATTCATCAATTCAATCCTGAACAGAAGTCATTGCTTCTCCTTTGTCAGACTATATATCAATCCAATAAACTTAATCTATGTGATTAACCCGTGATTTCTCACGTTTTAATCTCCTTGATGTCGGTCGTAGACATTAGTCATATATGTCACATATCCTAATAGTATATAACACCCCAAATCAATATACATTGTGTCCGATAACTTGTCTGTGATATTTCTTCAGTGGAAGCCGAAGTTAAATAAAGCTATTTCACACACACGCAAAATGAAAGTAGAAATCTCGCGAGACACGTGGAATTAAGTGGTGTAAACGTGCCGAATCTAATAGGTCTGATGTCGGGAGAAAAGATTCTATTTTGATGGCATATTGTCGGATTTATGATTATATTTTGAATGGGGTTTATGTTTTTAAATAAATAAACAAGCTAAAAAATGTTGACGAATATTTTGATTGGAATAACTAAGTAGTTACGCAAAATGAAAGTAGAAATCTCGCGAGACACGTGGAATTAAGATAAACGTGCCGAATCTAATGCGTCTGATGTCGAGAGAAAAGATTCTATTTTGATGGCATATTGTCGGATTTATGATCATATTTTGAATGGGGTTTATGTTTTTAAATAAATAAACACACTAAAAAATGTTGACGAATATTTTGATTGGAATAAAGTAAGTAGTTACGGTAATTGTTTTAGAAGAGTCGAATGGGATTTTTTTAGCAGTTGGTGTCACTCGCTCGTTGTATTATAGAGCGACATTTACTACGGTTTACGGTCAAATAAATTTCGTGATGTCATTTTTTTACCTTCCGTATATAAATCGAAACAGAGTATAAGACGAATGCCGGACTTCGCTGAAAAATGTATCGACTTATGACCCGAAAAATACAGTAATTTGGGGGAATTTGAAATCGGTAAACGGATAGGCAGTAATCGGCACGCTTTCATTCTATGGTATTACGATGTCAAGTAATTGTGTAGGAATATTATTGACATAAATTTGAATACCGTAGGGGAATTAAATTTGAAAAATAACGAGGTGCACCTATTTTTTTTATTACGAATGAATTTGAATATTTTGTTGAAACGTGATTCTTAATTGTGGTTTGAAAACGCCTGCTTAAATAACAGTAAGAGTTATGTCCCTTTATTTTCGGGAAGAAAATGTCCGACAACTAAAATTTTGAAATCCCATCACTGACTGTAACCCAGGCATCATTTAATCTTGTGTATCTAGCACTAATTTCTTTCACATTCATTCAATATCAAATTTTTGTTTAAAAATTCGTAAAATTCGTTTAAAATCACCAAGAATCATCTAATTTGCACTTGTGTCCAGTTTAAAGCTGACTGATTAATTTTGATAATGAGTGTCCAATTTACAAGTATTTAATTTCCTGACCACTGTTCAAAAATTAATCATTATACATCATTGAGAAATTAAATACTTGTAAGGTCGCGGTTAATTAATTGCCTGTTTCTCATGACCCGCATGTCTGTTTTCATCCGTAATAATCACGCACTTCTTTAATTATTCGGTCAAATTTAGTATTTGTAAAGTTACATTTTTTTGGCCACGCTATGAACAATCTATTTATTTTATTCACAAATATGTAACTAAATATGAAGTATATATTATTATACTGTTCTATTATACGTGTCTACGGTGTATAATGAACTCGGCAAAAATACGAAGTCTGTCCGTAAACAGGAAGTTCTACTATGAAGCCGGCGCGATTACCCAGACACACTTTAATCAGTGATTTTGACAAGACTGTCGTCTTGGAAGAAGTTTTAATACATGGTGTCGTATATTATCTAATAAATTCCATAAACTCGGCTTGTAAACTTTTTCCATTACAGATTTATGTTAATTTCTGATTTATCGCTGAGGCGTATTTAACCAGCAGCAGCCAGCCAGGATACGCCTACATTTTCGAGAGATGGATAGAGAACAAGTTAAAAAGAATGTGATTTTTCCTTCAATCAAGGGCCATGATTCAGGAAGTTACGGTCCGATATGCGCGAATATCGAAAGGAACCAAGATCTTTGGGTTATAAACATACATTTCAAGTTTCAACAAAATTGGATAAAATTTTTTAGGCTATTTGAGAATGAAGGGCGGCCATTTTGTCTGTAAATTTTGGGTCGATTTTCACGAAATTCGAACTCAGCCGTCCTTAGGGTGTAACGGTGATATAATAATACGTTTTTTTTTTTAAATCGGATAAAAATTATGATCTCTATAAGGTCCACAAGCTAAAAACACGATTTTTCGTACAATCAGGGTCCATAATTCAGGAAGTTACGGTCCAATATGCGCGAATATCGAAAGGAACCGAGATCTTTGGGCTATAAACTTACATTTCAAGTTTCAACAAAATCGGATAACCAGCGGCTGGCAGGCAGGATACACCCACATTTTCGAGAGATGGATAGAGAACAAGCTAAAAAGAAAGTGATTTTTCCTACAATCAAGGGCCATAATTCAGGAAATTACAATTCGATATGCGCAAATATCGAAAGGAACCGAGATCTTTGTGTTATAAACTTACATTTCAAGTTTCAACAAAATTGGATAAAAATTGTGACCTCCATAGGATCCACAACCTTGATATACCATATTTTTACGCTATTTGAGAACGAAGGGCGGCCATTTTGTCTGTCAGTTTTGGGCCGATTTTCACGAAATTCGAACTCAGCCGTCCTTACGGTCCTTATGGTGTAACGGTGATATAATAATACGTTTTTTTAAAATGGATAAAAATGATGACCTCTATAGGGTCCACAAGCTAAAAACGCGATTTTTTGTACAATCAGGGGCCATAATTCAGGAAGTTACGGTCCGATATGCGCAAATATCGAAAGGAACCAAGATCTTTGGGTTATAAGCATACATTTCAAGTTTAAACCAAATCGGATAAAAATTGTGACCTCTACAGTGTTCACAAGCTAAAAACGTGATTTTTCGTACAATCAGGGGCCATAATCCATGAAGTTACAGTCCCATACATGCCAATATCGAAAGGAACCGAGATTGTAACCCAATCCGGAAGTGCCACCATCTTGAAATGTGAAATATCGCTAAGGCTTTTTTGATGTTTTACTTACAGACAAGGGAATTATATTTTCCGAATCCTTGAAGAAAAGCCCATAAATTGTAGGAATTAGAATTTTGATTTCTGGCAAATGATGGACGCCATTTTGAATTGGAAATGAAAAATAGTGAAATATCCACATTAATGGGCTTGAAATTGGTCGTGGCTTAAAGAATCTGTCTCCTATTACCGAAATTAATACATTTCAGGATAGCCTGGCTCATGGTCGAATGTTTGGTATTGGAATATTTCAAAAATTCGAATTTCGCCTTTGATGTAATTCATTCACAGAAAATGGAGTTAGTAGCCCATTCCGGAAGTGCCACCATCTTGAAACGTGAAAAATCACTTTGCTTTTGCGATATTTTACTTACAGACATGGGAGTTACATTTTCTGAATCCTTAAAGGAATGCCTAAAAATCGTTCAGAGCAGAATTTTGATTTAGGCCAAATGATGGTCACCATTTGGAATTGAATATGAAAAATAGTGAAATATCCACATTAATGGGCTTGAAAACATACACAATTGGTCGTGGCTTAAAGAATCTGTCTCCTATTACCGAAATTAATACATTTCAGGATAGCCTGGCTCATGGTCGAATGTTTGGTATTTG